CCCCTGTCCCTCAGGGTGTCCCCTGTCCCCTTCAGTTCTATTTTTAGCTTTGCTCTGTTGGTCACGCTCATTTGTCCCCAACAGCTCCCGAGGGAGTCTCCCAGTATTCCCAGTCCTCCCAGTTCTCCCAGTCCTCCCAGTTCTCCCAGTGCTCCCAGTTCTCCCAGTTCTCCCAGTATTCCCAGTTCCCCCAGTCCTCCCAGTTCTCCCAGTATTCCCAGTTCCCCCAGTTCCCCCAGTTCTCCCAGTATTCCCAGCACGATGCAAACGAGGCCGTCTGGAATGTGGCAGCTCCTCCTGCGGGGCCTCGGGCTCATCCCGGGAATCCGGGCCTGGTGTCACCTGGTGTCACCCTGTCCTGTGTCACCCTGCCCTGGTGTCACCTGGTGTCACCCTGTGCCCGTGTCACCCTGTCCTGGAGTCACCCTGTGCCGGTGTCACCCTGCCCTGGTGTCACCTGGTGTCACCCTGTCCTGTGTCACCCTGTGCCCGTGTCACCCTGTGCCCATGTCAGTCCGTCCTGGTGTCACCCTGTTCCAATGTCACCCTGTCCCTTTGTCACCCTGCTCCAGTGTCACCCTGTCCTGTGTCACCCTGCTCTGGTGTCACCCTGTCCTGGTGTCACCTGATGTCACCCTGCCCCGGTGTCACCCACGGTGACAAAGCTCCCGGGTGGCTCCTGGGCTGCAGGACACACCCGGGGGTGGCCGGGGAGGGGACAGAGGGGGGGGATGGCGGTGTCCCGAGTGTCCCCCCCCCGTTTGTGTCCCCACAGATCTGTACACGGCCCCGGACTCGTGCGAGGGGCGCTGCGGGGAGCCCTTCAGCGAGGAGGACGAGTGTCATTGTCACCGCGAGTGTCACAGCCAGCACAACTGCTGCCAGGACCACGAGAGGCACTGCGGGAGCGGTGAGAGCCCGGCCACGGCCACGCGGGGGGTCCACGAGCCTCTGCAGGGTCCCCAAGGTGTCCCCAGGGTGTCCCCAAGGTGCCAGGGGTT